TAGCCATGCTTTGAGGAGTTATTTGTCTTATATGCTTTAGAATTTTTCTCTATAAACATTCTGTGTGTGTGTGTGTGTGTGTGTGTGTGTGTGTATGTGTGTTGCATTCACATGAGTATGCAGGTAGGTATACCTGTGCATGCACATGCAAAAGCTAGAGGAAGGCCTTGGATGTCTTCCTCTATCATTCCCCACCTTACCTTGAGACAGGGTCTATCACTGAACTGGTGGTTTGCCTTTTTGGATAGGCTGGCTGGCCACAGATCTTTCAGTCTCTATTGCCAGTGCTAGTGTTACAGGTACATGGAGCCATGCCTAGCTTTTATTTGGTTGCTAGAAATTTGAACTCAGGACCTTATGCCTGTAGAGCAAGCACTCTTATCCACGAAATCATCCCCCCAGCCTCAATATCTATGTCTTTTTATATCTAAGTAGTCACTTTAGTTTATGACTTTCCTTATTCACTCTGCTATTCTTGGAAGAATTAATCTCCCTTTCCTCAGTGTTCCTCGAGAACTTTCTTCATATTGCTACTAAGAATCAGTATAGGTGTCTAGGGAAGTAGAAGGAATGAAAGAAAGAATACTAGCTTTAGAGATAGGGAGGACGCTTACAAGCTGTATGACCTTGGGCATAGTCTTCTACCTCTCTGGACCTCAGATTCTTGGTATGTCAGAAAAAAATTAACATGCACTCACCATGATTTTGATGATTAATGGTGAATGAACATAAAGCACATGTAACTGGCACCCTCAATGTATTCTGTGAACTGTAATTTGCTATGGAATCAGATAGTCTGTTTACTCAACTCAGTGATTCATACTTCAATTTTTTTGATTCTCAAATTGTGGAAAATCTAGAATATTCTTCTCCTCATTCATTGAACTAGTACCCTTGATTAAAAATTCTATGAGATGATAAGTTCCAATTTATGTACTTCTGAATCCCTCTAGTCCAGAATCTTTCATACATCAAATGCTTAATATGCTTGTTTTCAGGAAAAAGAATTCAGTTACAGATCAAAATAGAGAAATTACTGGATATATTTGATTTCCACTAGAATAGAACAAATAAACTTGCTTTATCAATTGGTATTATTATTTTACAAAATCATATTGCTTAGGATATTTTCCTAACTACTATTCCAGAATAATCTGATAAATATCTATAAAAAGTATACTAATGTTCACAATTTATAAAGCCCCTTTCTTCGAAGTTTATGGATTTTGTAATCAATCCTTATAACAGCTCAAAGGTAAACAGAAGGAAAGGATGGAATTATGAATCCAGAACACATCAGAATTAATAAATTTCACAAATGACTCTCAGGAAAAGCCTATCTACTTTCCCGATTTACATTAACTTTGTAATAATTTTCTTTATCAATTTACCCAGGATACTTAGTTTATTCATCACATCAAGATATAGGTCTGTAGCAAAGTGGTTTTGTTATTTGCTTATGAAAGCAACTTTTTTTTTTTTTTTTTTTTTCTTTTTTTTTTTTTTTTTTTTTGCCGTGAGACAGGGTTTCATGTAGCCCACCCTGGCCTCAAACTTGCTATAAGCACTCCTGATCCTCCTGTCTCCACCTTCCAAGTACTGGAATTACAGGTGTGTGTTGGGAAAACTGCCGTATTCAGGTTACTGACCACCGGTCTACTTCAGCTAACAAACTGACTATAGTTTTTAGTATTTAGGAAATAGACCAATTTTCTTTAATAATCAGAGAACAAAAGCCCAGTCTCAACTTTAACCTCCTTCTGCTCCCCATCATTTATTTGGTCATTTTGTACTAGGACAGTCTACTAACCCTTCCTTTTGTGTATGTACATGTGTGTTCACATGCCCCCCCGCCCGTGTGCATGCGTGTGTGCGTGTGTGTGTGTGTGTGTGTGTGTGTGTGACCAGAGGTTGTTACCTTCTTCAGCTGCCCTCCATCTTATTCTTTGAGGCAGGGTCCCTCACTGAACCTGGAGCTCAGATTCAGCTAGACTGGCTGGCCAGCAAATCCCAGGGATTCTCCTGTCTCTGCCTCCCAAGCACTGGGATTACAGGTGTACACCACCATTCCCTGCTCTTTTCTTAAAACATAGGTGCTGGGGATTCAAACTTAGGTCCCCACGCTTGCACAGCAAGCATATTACTTACTGAGCCATCTCCCCATCCCCTAGTAATCGTCCCCAATTACCTGCTTATGATATATATACCCCTTTTTTCAAAAAGTAAATTTATGTTCACTGGTGTGCATGTATGTGTGCAGTACCCTCAAAGGCTAGAAGAGGGTGACAGAGTCAGAGTCACAATGTGGGTGCTGGGAGTTGATCCAAGTGCTCTAATACCCTGGGCCAACTCTCCAGCCCCAGTATTCTTTCTTTTTATCTGTTAATAAAAAAATCCCACTTTTGTTCAGGCAACACTGTACTAAAACCTAAAAAATAAATTATGGCCGGGCGTGGTGGCGCACGCCTTTAATCCCAGCACTTCAGAGTGGAGGCAGGCAGATCTTTGTGAGTTCAAGGCCAAACCAGTCTACATAGTGAGTTCAGGTCAGCTGGGACTACAGGGAGACCCTGTCTCAAAAAGACCAAAATAAT